TCCCCTAAAAATTTTTCATCTGTTCGGATTTCCTAGCTGAAAGTCTAGTGATCCGAAAATTATAGGGATCAACACTCAACTTTTCGAAAATTTCACCCAGAAAAAAAGCTCCCGAAAATTCTAGGTCACCTTTTTAGGGTAAAAATCCGTAAAAAATGGGCAAAATTACCATTTTTTAGATCTCCGAGAATCCTAGGAGAGGCAGGCAAGCAAGAAAATTTTACAACAAATGTTCCGAAAGAACTAGATCTCAAATCGTCCTCGAATAGATATTTTCCAAAAATTGACGTTGGGTGCCCCTAGGGTAGCCGTACATTTACATTGATTCAGTACGAAGAAAGATAGGATATCTTTCTTTCTACGGGTGGAAAAGTTAAACGCACAAGCGCTTACCCCATTAGGCATGTTAACATAATGTCAGGACTTCTCAACCTGGATGATCCAGAAAGGATATAGAACAACTGCCTAATTTTTTTTTTTTCGGCCAGGGGTCCAAATTCTAAACGTGTTATATATCCTAGAAGCACTCAGGCATAATAACATCATGCCAGGACTTCTACCTGGGTGAACCAGAAAGGATACAGAACAACTGCCTAATTTTTATTTTTTTTTTCAACTACGGATTGAAAAACTAAACTTGTTATATATCCTAGAAGCGCTAAGGCATAATAACATGATGCCAGGACTTCTACCTGGGCGAACCAAAAAGGGTATAAAACAACTGCCTAAATTTTTTTTTTTCGGCTAAGGTTCGAAATGCTTAACGTGTTATATACATGTATCCTGGAAGCGCTCAGACATAAGAACATCATGCCAGGACTTCTACCTGGGTGAACAGAAAGGATATAGAACAGTTGCCTTATTTTTTTTCCGGCTGCGGGACGAAATGCTAAACGTGTTATATACACCTATTTCGAGAAAGGTTGTCGGAAAAAGTGCACGCGACAATTCCGAAAGGTATTGTGGGCGGTTTTGAGTTCTTTTATCTTCAAAGAAATTTGAAAGAATGGCACAAGAGACCATGGACCTATGTTTCCAAATGCTAAAGGAAAGCAACAATAGAAGATTTAACAGGTACAGTGTCAGGAAGAGCGTATTGATCAAATCCCATATCACCTTTCGGGATTGTCGCGTGCACATTTTTTCCGACAACCTTTCTTGAACTAGCTGTATCCTGGGACCCTTTAGGCATAATAACATCATGCCAGGACTTCTACCTGGGTGAACAGAAAGGATAGAACAACTGCCTAATTTTTATTTTCGGCTACGGGTCGAAATGCTAAACGTGTTATATATCCTAGAACCACTCAGGCATAATGACATCATGCCAGGACTTCTCCCTGGGTGAACCAGAAAAGATATAGAAAAAAGGCCTGATTTTTTTTTTCGGCAACGCATCGAAATGCTAAATGTGTTATTTATCCAAGAACCACTCAGGCATAATAACATCATACCAGGACATCTACCGGGATGAACCAGTTTCCCCAGTTATTTTTAAATGTTTTAGTCTAATTCGTTACCTACTAGTTCACAAAATTATTTATTCGTTATCAAAACAATCCTTAACTAGAAGTTTTAAAAATCTTTTGTAATCTTCGACGAAAAAGAAACAACCTGAGAGGCGTTTTAGGATCTATATATAAGACTTACCGGCCTGTGTACCTCCGGAATAGAAAGTCAAAACCACCAGAAAAGTCAAAGTGGATCTCATAGCATTCTCCATCACAAATAACACGACGTTAATTAACTCAGAATCTAAGTCCGCTTTGTGAAAGGAAATGGTCCTTCTTAGCAGGAAAAAGGAAAACGCCACAAACCTTCGTGCCTCCAAAACTTTGTCGCTTTTCGCCTCTCATAAGTAAATATAAAGTTGTTCACATATCGACGATACATAGCAAATTGTCATAACGAGCCGCACGACCCTAGCAACCACAAAAACCCCTCAGTATCCAGCTGCGATAGCTGAGTAAAAGTCAGCTATCTCAGCTGGATACCCAGTATCTTGCAACATTTCCTATTCCATTATAAATCTCTGATCGTATTTCTCATCTAATATGATAGAAGCGTCAATTTTCACTCAATCATGTCATCATCATTCTGGGGCGAGAAATAAAATTAATTAAAAGTGCGGTATCAAACAAAATGTACGGAAGAAATAATTCAGTGCTTTCTAAAAAGAACATTTTAAAGTCTGCGATCGATATCATTGCTAACACAGACAAGGACGATTAAATATCTATAGTTCAATATTACCCAATTTTGCTAGAGCTCCCCTTATTGTAGTTCGATGCTGTGTAGCAGGGGCCCCCAACGACAATGAGTTGAAAACCACTTAAACATAGCATTGTTAAACGAACTTTAGCATTTAAACTGTAGATATAGGCATATTTTTAATCCCCTTAAAAATTTTTCATCTGTTCGGATTTCCTAGCTGAAAGCCTTCTGATCCGAAATTATAGGGATCAACAGTTAACTTTTCGAAAATTTCACCCAGAAAAAAGCCTCCCGAAAATTTTAGGTAACCTTTTTTAGGGAAAAAATCCGTTAAAAATGGGAAAAATACCATTTTTTAGATATTCGAGAATCCTAGGAGAGGCAGGCAAGCAAGAAATTATACAAAAAATGTTCCGAAAAATCTAGATCTCAAATCGTCTTCCGAATACATATTTTCCAAAAATTGACGTTGGGTACTCCTGGTGTAGCCGTACATTTACATTAATTTAGTACGAAGAAAAGATAGGATATCTTTCTTTCTACGGGTGGAAATGTAAAACATGTTATATATTTCACAAGCGCTTACTCCATTAGGCATATTAACATAGTGACAGGACTTCTACCTGGATGAACCAAAAAGGATATAGAACAACTGCCTAATTTTTTTTTTTCGGTCACGGGTCCAAATACTAAACGTGTTATACATCCTAGAAGCACTCAGGCATAATAACATCATGCCAGGACTTCTACCTGTGTAAACCAGAAAGGATATACAATAACTGCCTAATTTTTTTTTCGGCTACGAGTCGAAATGCTAAACGTGTTATATATCCTTGAAGCGCTCAGGCATAATAACATCAAGCCAGGACTTCAACCCGAGTGAACCAGAAAGGATATAGAACAACTGCCTAATTTTTTTTTTTTTCGGCTACGGATCGAAATGCTAAACATGTTATATACACCTATTTCGAGAAAAGTTGTCGAAAAAAGTGCACGCGACAGTCCCGAAAGGTATTGCGGGCGGTTTTGAGTTCTTAGTTCTTCAAAGAAATTTGAAAGAATTGCACAAGAGGCCATGGACGAATGTTTCCGAATGCTAAAGGAAAGCAACAATAGAAGATTCAGCAGCTACAGTGTCAGGAACAGAGTATAGATCAAATCCCATATTACCTTTCGGGACTGTCGCGTGCACATTTTTTCCGACAACCTTTCTTGAAATAGCTGTATCCTGGAAGCGCTCAGGCATAATAACATCATGCCAGGACTTCTACCTGGGTGAACAGAAAGGATATACAGTAGAACAATTGCCTAATTTTTTTTTTTGGCTACGGGTCGAAATAATAAACGTGTTATATATCCTAGAAGCGCTCAGGCATAATAACATCATGCCAGGACTTCTACCCCGATGAACCAGAAAGGAAAAAAACAACTGCCTATTTTTTTTTGTTTTTTTTTTGGCTACGGATCGAAATGCTAAACGTGTTATGTATCCTAGAAGCGCTCAGGCATAAATACCATCATGCCAGGACTTCTACCTGGGTGAACCAGAAAAGATATAGAACAACTCCCTATTTTTTTTTTTTTCGGCTACGGATTGAAATGCGAAACTTGTTATGTAAACCTATTTCGAGAAAAGTTGTCGAAAAAAGTGCAAGCGACAGTCCCGAAAGGTATTGTGGGCGGTTTTGAGTTCTTAGTTCTTCAAAGAAATTTGAAAGAATGGCACAAGAGGCCGTGGACGAATGTTTCCGAATGCAAATAAAGGAAAGCAACAATAGAAGATTCAACAGCTACAGTGTCAGGAACAGCGTATAGATCAAATCCCATATTACCTTTCGGGACTGTCGCGTGCACATTTTTTCCGACAATCTTTCTTGAACTAGCTGTATCCTGGAAGCGCTCAGGCATAATAACATCATGCCAGGACTTCTACCTGGGTGAACAGAAAGTATATACAGTAGAACAATTGCCTAGTTTTTTTTTCGGCTACGGGTCGAAATGCTAAACGTGTCATATATCCTAGAAGCGCTCAGGCATAATAACATAATAATAATAATAATAATAATAATACTGGTTTATTAAAATACACATGGTGGCATAAAAGCTATGAATTACAATGCGCTTAAAATAAAATTACATTTGTTTTAGAGGGACTGGGATTACAGGCTATTTATAAGTTATTTACAATTCAGATATAGATAAAGGACAATACTAGAGATAACTAGACTCGTAAGATTAGTTAATTTTCGTCATTGCTGGGAAAAAACTACAACCGAAGCGTTTTGTTCTATACTGGAAGAGGTTAGAACTGCTACTGTTCCTAAGATGGCAAGAGTGGCATTCGGATCGCACGGGAGGGAGAAGGCGGTGCAGCTGGCCATCCGGGTTATTTTGATATTGTGCCACACTTTAAGACACAGGTGGGCGCGTCTTTCCCTTAAACTAGTAATGTTGGCTTGTCCGGCTTTTGCAAGAGCCTGTTGATAGTGGAGGTCAGGGTATACGATTCGCAGGGCCCTCTTCTGGATAGCTTCAAGCTGGTCAATGAGGAAGCGAGGAAGGCAAGTACGGGTCCAAAAATACTAAACGTGTTATATATCCTAGAAGCGCTCAGGCATAATAACATCATGCCAGGACTTCTACCCCGATGAACCAGAAAGGAAAAAAAACAACCGCCTATTTTTTTTTTTCGGCTACGGATCGAAATGCTAAACGTGTTATGTATCCTAGAAGCGCTCAGGCATAATAACATCATGCCAGGACTTCTACCTGGGTGAACCAGAAAGGATATAGAACAATTGCCTAATTTTGACACCTTAATTAGTAAATGACATGCATCAACTAATTGCCTGTCGCGTTCACCATGCGGTGGTTTTCAATACTAACGTCTTGAAAGTGCACCACTGTTACCTTAGTATAACAACCTTTTCCTCACGTTATGCATTGCCATCCAGTCCTTCATTTGTGAGATCAGAAAAAAGGACACTCTCATCTTCCTTCACTTTTCCTTTATTCTCTGATGTCATATTTAGTATTAAGGATAAATACTTTATATCATATTAATTTCTTCTCTAATTTCTTCTTTAATTCTTCTTTAATTAAGGAACTTGGCATCACTGCAAAGTAGAAAATATAATTTATAGGAGTTTGTTAGGCATATTTAATAATTGCAAATTATAAATATCTGTTAGCAATATAATTTTTGATGCTGAAATACATAGTATTGCCCCCGAAAATATGCTATTCTCAACACAATTGCTAATATGCACGCAATTTGTAAATTGCGTTCGCAGTAAAAAGAGAATTTGGCATAATAAAAACCACCATTGATTCCACTATATTGTTCAAGAGTGTGTAAAATTCAATATTGGTAAGTGACACGCCACGATTTGTCTTTTGTCGATTTATCTTTGAGATGATGAGGGAATTTATGCGCGATGCTTAACTTAAAAAACATTTTTTGAACTTACTGACCAATAGAACATTGCATTAATTTATTCAGTAAAAATTTGTGAATAAAACCAAAGGATTGTACAAGGTCAGGAAGCTTCCAACATAAACTGCAGCACCATTGTTTTCATCTTTAATGTTTGCCGGCTTTCATAACCAGTCTCCTGTACTAACTATTCTTAGAAGAGGTTAAAATCAATGGAAAATTCTAAAGCCGTTATCCTACAGTGCGTTCGCAGTCGCTTACGAAGCTTTTCAACTTTAAAGCTTTGACTTGGAAAATTTTGGTGTTTAGGATTAGGGGTCGCTTATGGGAGGTAGTCGCTTACGAGAGGTGGTCGCACCTGGAGGTTCGACTGTATTTACATCACAAAAGACAGATTTCCAATTTTTGTACGGCCGTTGTAAAACATCCCTCACCCTGGACACAGATGCCCGAGAAAAGAGGAGAGGAGGTTTAGCGGTTTTGTTTTGGTGTCATTTTAGGAGGTACGATGTAAGACTAGCTTTAATGCCAAATGAATGATTTTCCAGTAATCGGATACCCATGTTTTGCGCACAGGATTCTGGGATCGCCAGGGGGCAAACATTGCGAGTCGCCACAAAGAAATGTATGGCGTGGAGCTGGTTCTCCGGTAAAAGCAGTGTCTTTGGACAGAGAATGCAACATTTTGCCGTGATTTTATGAGAAGAGGAGGTGACTAATGTTGGTGCGAAGAAATTGTAAGTTTTTGTGGGATCAATGCGATGAAATCTATCGATAAACACTGATTCTTGCGAAAGTTCGACTGTGAATTTACTGAATGGTCTCGAAATATATAGTACTAACTTAGTAAAATGAGTCCGCATTCCCCGCTCATTTATACCTATCTCATTTAAGCCTTTCCAGTTGTACTTACATGTGCTCATATTTACAACGAGTGTAATTACGCTCCGCTCGGCGGCGATCTCGAAGGTAAGCTTATGTATTGTCGAATTTGATATGTATTAAATTTAAAAGCAAAAACATCTTCCGCACATTAGTATATTGATTTCTTCTCGCCAAAAAAAACACAAGCGAAATGTTTTGTCATTATCCTGAAAACCGATGAATTCTAATACCTTTTCCAATCATTTTGAGGGAAGATGCAGAATCTCTGCATTTCGCACATCAATTTGGTGTTTATTTTCAAACTCACCGCTTTTGTATCGGAAATCTTACTCGTTTGTACGAGTTTTATCTCATCTACTAATGGTTAAATACCATGTACTTTCCATGAAATATTTTGTAGATGTCACTTTGTTTATACCAAAGTAAAGGAGGATTTTTTATTTTTATGGCCACGTACATACCTCCGATCGTTGTCTTGTCATAACCCGCAAAGCGCCGCACAGCGCTGATCGCGGTCGAGCGTAGTTACACTCGTCGTAAATATCACCACACGTAATTATAACTTAAACGCCTAAATGAGCCAATCCCCCTACATGTATACCTAAATTTGCACTATATATTTCGAGACCTTTTCTTCGAATTCTTCATGTCTGTGTAAATTCAGTGAAGATAAATTTCACACTCAACCTCACGCAAGGAGTGTTTATCGATAGAATTTTTCGCATTAATCACACAGAAACTTGAAATTTCAACGCACCAACATTAGTCACCTCCGTTTCTCATAAAATCAAGAAAAAATGAAGCATTCTATGTCCAAACACACTCCTTTTAATACAGAAACAACTCCACGCCATACATTTCTTTGTAGCGACTCGCAATGTTTGCCCCCTGGCGATCCCAGAATCCTGTGCGCAAAACATGGGTATCCGATTGCTGGAAAATCATTCATTGACTAGTAGGTATGACACTCTTCCATGCATCCAGATCACCATGCTAGTGATCATTTTTGTACAAACCTTAAGAGATCTTTCTCACAGTTTGTAAACGTAGTTGCTGAACGGCCCCCCTACACCAGACCAGCAGTTATTGGCTGGTCCATGCTTGTCATACTTCGTTCCAGCCTTTGCACCCCAGCACTCTCCGTAATACTGGATAGCAAAATAATACATCCTTTGAAGACAAAAAGAAAACCATATGAATAAAGGACTTATCCTTGCACTTAATTAAAGGGAAAAGGGATGCTTGGCGCGTAAATATCTCTCAAATGATGTTATCATTCGTTGAAATTTTTTCTTCCTTTTCATTAGCCGACAGCCCACCACGTGACCTGCAAATAACTTCCAACAAATAATGTTTTCCTCATGCGCAGTCGTCCAACTTTGTTTGGCTGCAAATTATATTCTGCTCGTGCGTAAATGACACCACCCTTTTCTCCTTCTTTGCGATCGCTCTTGCGTGAAAATCGGAGATCGCTTCGCTTCCCGAAGATATTCCTTATTTGGCTTCGGCAAACAATTGATCTGCTCGCCACTGACAAATCACGATATGTTGCTAAAACTCGGTCCAATAATTGTTAATGTTTTACCACATGCAAATCCGTGGAGAGCATGGTATATTAAATGAATTATTCCGATTTTGACTGATGTAGGCTATGTGCGTTTGTTTGTGACTCCCAAATTATAAACTGCGCTAAATTAGCAGTCTACAAAGTTTTTGCCACATTTTAGATATTTTTTCTTAATTGCCGTGTAAACACATTATTATTATTATCATTATTATTATTTTTTATTATTATTATTATTATTATTATGTTTTGTTTTTATCAGTAATACATTAATGGTGGACACAATAAAGTTGTCACAAGTGTGTAGAAAAAAAGGTAAAATATTCATCATGGACCTGGAAAACAATATGCAAAAACAAATATTAATACTTACGAGTGACTCCTGGCAATCTCCGAGCACTTTTTGACTGTTTTTGACATATCACGCCAGTCAATAGATTGCCGTAAGTTCTTAAGTAACTTTCCCATTGCGCGGTCGTCAGCATTGTCTTGAAAACAGCCAAGTGCAACGAAATTTTTTTCTACAAGAAAAGAAAAATAGAAATAAAGGAAGTAGGGAGAGTGACAGAATAAAAGGCCATAATTAAAAAGGGATGAGAGAGCAACAGGGGAAAGGAGATGTAAAGCAAGACCCACTACATGCTCCAGAGTTTAAATCATAATTCACCAAAAATGATTCACATATATAGACCATAATGCACCTTGTTCACCCCCAGAAATTTGTCTTCAATTTCTCTTGGGACGACTGTAACACTCAGGATAATTCAGAGGAAACAATGGTCACGGATTTTTTTTTTTTTTTTGGGGGGGGGGGGGGAAGGTGGGGCAATGGGTATTATGGTCTATGTGAAAATGGTGAATAACAAGCTTTTGGATACCTAGAAAACCTTTGAGGATGGGGTGTTGAAAGGTGACTGTTCTTGCTCGTTCTAGCTACCATCGTTTGTTTTCATATTTAAAAGTACTATTGCCTAAGAGACGTATGACTTACTGCAATTGCCGTGGAATTGATCTCGAATGACCATTACTTTCAAAAGTAATTTATATTCTAATTTGATTTGATTCCATAACTTCTTCCATATTTTTTACCCTTTTTCATTAAGTCCCGACACCCACACTGCACGAAAAAACTGGATTTACACAAATTTACTCGGTGTAAATATGGTGTAAAAAAGTGCAAATTAGGGGGCAATTAAAAGCAAAGATGGCAAATATCGCATTGCTTGCCAGTTTACATGGGGGTGTAAATTTTAGGGCAAATGCGGTATTTACCATCTTTGTGCTTTATTTAACCTTAGTTTACACTTTTTTGCACCAAATTTGCACTGAATAAATTTGGTGTAAATCCAATTTTTCGTGCAGTACCAGTAGCTGGCTCTGTAAAGCTAAGAGAGTATGGTAAAACTAAAACTTACTTATCTCGCAATTGAATCCCGTATAGCCATCCGGGCATATACACTTGTATGTGCCTATCTTGTTCTCACATGTCGCACCATTTTGACATGGGTTGTTGCTTCCACTACATTCATCCTTGTCTGCAAGAAAGAAACTAAATTTTAAGCATAGTTATAAGTGAAATGAAACTACAAAATTAGGTTTCTTTCCGCTCATTTTTCTTGCCCAGGCTTCTCGCGTGTTAAACGTGTTAAGGTGGCTTTCCCCTGACGTCCAACGTTATACAATTATATTTACAATTTAAATAAGAAGAACAATTATGAGGAGCACATTAATAAAACTAAGGAAACAGCTTCGTACATATACTAAAGGACATGAGATTTTCTTACCTTTTTCACAGTTCTTTCCCTCAAAACCATCGATACAATAGCACTCGTAACTCCCTGGTTTATTCGTACAGTTACCGGTGTTTTGACAGGGATTGTTAATGCATTCGTCAACGTCTG